ACAGGAAGTTCAGCCTCCAAGAAACCATCTGAGCATCCTGATTGTCCTTCCAGTTTATGCTGTATGCATATTTACCTATCTGAGATCCTTCTACCTGGCCTCTGGAACTGGCTTTCTTCTGTAGGAGGAGTTGAGGATCAGGTGATGTCTTTTGGAAGCTTTTGGTTCTGCTAGAAGGTGAAGAGAGAAGGGCATGAGGTTGTTGCCTCTCACAAAACATTGGGATTGTTTGCTGGTCAGATCACAGGCACCAGCTGTGAGTAAGCCTGTTTCTTAATGAATCCAGTCTCTCCTTCCATCAGCTGTCTGTCCACTAAGCAGCAAAGGAAATGGTGGTTTTCTGACCATAAGAGAAATGACTGTTCCTCATGCTAGTAGGAAAACTAAGTGTGCACTCCAGTCTTCTCTGAATACTTGGTAGTGGTTCTTTTTTAGCATTTGTATCAAACAAGCTGTTCATATAGGCTCTAAATAATGTGTGAAGCTATGATCAGTGACTGGAGACTCCAAAATTGAAGTTACAGTAGTTCTCTCAGTTCTGTCTGTTTCTAATAGAATACTTTTCTTAGTGGAAAAGAAAGTGTGTCAAAGGTTAACTTTGGCTTAGGCTATTTGGCTCTAAAAAATTTCAAAACTTTTCTACCACACAAAATTCTCCTTGAAATCTGCCTTGTTTTTGTCCAATCCTATGGTCAGCAGAATACTTTGTATTTACAACATCCAGGCTGGACCTTGGCAGGCCTCAGGATGTGCATTACAACCATCAGGTCATCCAGGTTTTTGGTTATAAATTCTGCAGCACTGGAAGACCTCAGAAATCCAGGCACTTTAACTTGCTGGGGTCGTAAACTTTTTGGCATGGAATCAAGAGCCTGGAAGACCTGAGAACCCCATGGTTTTGTCTATCATGTTATCCTAATTTCAGTTCTATTCTTTTGGACATCCTTTTGCCTTTAAGCTTATTCCATGATCAGTGTTGGTTTGGTGTTTATTTTAATCTGAACTTTCAGCTGTATACAACTTTTTGACAGGTGCAAGCTATTATTTTCAACTCTTGTTCCTTATCTCCTTCTCATGGACTTCCAGGATTCAGAGCAGTGACTGGAAAGATGTAGTCACTGAGTTTATACTCAGCAATCTCTGTTCTTTGCCTATCTAATGTACCCTGAGGAAGGCTTGTAAAATTGAGTTCCTGGTCAATATAATTTGAAAGGAAACACTGAATTTAAGAACCATATCCTTTGAACACTTGGTAGCATATGCATTTGTACATCTCTCTGCAGGGCTCAGTATTGTTCTGAAGTCATGTGGCAGCGTTACTAAAACTCGTGATTTGAAAAATAATTAATTTGAGAATGGTGCGGTGGTTAGTGAGCTAGCTAAGGACATGTGAGGCAAAGATTTGTTTTGCTTCTCTGCCAGCAGTTTCCTATTCATCCTCAGCAAGCATCTTGGTCCTCAAGTTCTTCATATTTAAAATAGTGCCAGTAGAATTATCCTACCTAATAGAAATTGCAAGATAAAATATATAATGAGGTGTAATATGTATGGGGTACCATAGTGACTGGAGGGTTTTTTTTGGTTGTTTGTTTTTTGTTTTTTTTTTCTTTTTAAAAAAACCCTAGAGTTTCATATTCCATTTCCAGGAATCATGGGAAACATAACAAAAGCCTAAGGTATTTTTGCTCAGCCTTTCACTATTTTTTCCTATTCTTTTCTGTTGTAGTCCCTCTCCCTTTCACTGGGGCAGCAATCTCACTGAAGGGGGAATGTCAAGTAAAATTGATTTGAAACTTCTAAAAGGGGGAAAAAATTATTTTTTTTTCTATATTGCTGATGTACCTTTTATATCTGTATTACATATTTTAAAATCTGTGTTTATAAATTGGTCAGCTTTTGCTGTTTTGCAGCACGATTCCACAAGGCAGTTGTGCAAAAACAGCTGAGGAGGGCAGAAACAAGCAGAGGGGTTCAGGAGCACTGTAGGTTCTGGTGAGATTGAACTACAGGATGAGAAAAAAAGATTTAATCATTTGTGGAATTCAGTAAGAAATTAAGATGCTGGGATGTGTGCTTTGGGAATTGTGGTGGACTGTTCCCAGGAGGGAACCAAATAAATCCGTTGCAGTAGGAGAGCCAGCCTATGCTTTTTGACCATATTAATAATACCCTTCCTTTCCATTTTTTGGCTACGCCAATTGTGACATCAATTTTCATACGTGCTATCTGAAAGTGACCTAAATTTTTACCCTTAATATTTGGAAGAGCCATTTAAATGCAAAGGACTGATGCTTATTGCCTTGTCCCAGGCATATACATGTGGGACTGAAATGATTTTCTTGATGTGAAGGCATCACTCAGCAACAAAATTCTGTGATTCAGTAATCAAACATTAATGAAGTACAGAGTGAGCTTTTGAATGTTTTTCATGCCCTGATTACTAAACAGAGGTAAGATCTGTAGTGAAGCAAAATGTGTTTGTCCTCATGCTGAGGTTGTGCTGTTGAGTGGGACCCTGAAAGGTGCTGTTGCCATGCAGCAACACCTTCTGCTCAAGTCCCAGTCAGAGGCAGAGTTGAGTGCAATGGTTGGTCAAAGCACAGCTGGACAAACCACTTACGGCTTTTTCACCATTTATTTTTTCAGCAAGTAAGCAGCCCTGTGTGGTTTATTAACTGAGCTACCTAAACACTGAGTTGGAGTTGCAGCAGCAGGAAGTGGCTTCTAATCTGTAAAGATACTCCTTGGTTGCAAATTCAAGTGGCTGAAGGTTACTGAGGCTTGTAAAGTCTCCCTGGTGGCCACAGCATAACCATAAGAGAGTCATATGTTTTCTTGCTACACAGCAGGATGAGAGGCTGATCTGGAGCTTTGTTTTCCCCACTACTTGTTGCTCAGGTCTGGATTTTTAAGCTGTCAACTTCACGTGTGTCTTTGGCTGGGACTGTTCTGAAATGCTAATAATACTGTAGACCAGTCATGGAGATCTCTTAATGGAAGGTACATTAGAGGTAATGGTGCAGTAAGCCAGTATCTTGCAGTATTTGGAGGTAAAAATAGAAAACTGGAAAACTTCAATAAGTTCTAATAATGAAAATTTGGGAAAAAAAAGGGTTGGAGATATATTTGGTTAGCTTTTTTTTTTTAACCACCAATAGAAATTTTCCACTATTTACAAACTATTAGAGTATTTGTGAAGATTTTTTGCTTATTACAGAATATTTTAATTTTTTAACCTTGAGGAGGGCGGATTAATTATTTTTGTCATGTACTTTCAGTGGGAAGGCAAATATTTACATTGTGTTAATTTTCACAAGTGCACAGCAATTTTTTTTTCTGTAGCTAGTCTAAGTCAGTGTAAATTTTATGGCAAACCAAAGGGTGAAAAAACTAAAAAGCTAAAAATGCTTTAAAGCACTTGTATGTTCTCACAATTTTTTGGCTGAGAGCTCAGTTTTGTATGACAAGTGAAAACCGCTGAAAATATCTAGCTGCAGCATTGGTTTGCAGTGGTACAACTTTACACTTCCAGTAAGTGAATTTCAAACAGAAGAGTTTTTTCAGTTTTCTAAATCCATGCTCAGACATTTGCCTTGGGTTCCAATGTGAGTTATCCTGCAGGCTCTGGTGTTTGAGGCAGGTACCTGGCCGTGACCTGCAAGTTGTTTCCATGTGTTTTGCTGAGAAAGTTGCTTCTTGATAACTGCTTATGTGAAGTTTGTATGTGCGCCGTAGACATGTATAGAAATGCACATTCTATTTTGGTCAGTGCTAATTTATCTTTTTTTTACTTGGGTGTTTTGTGTGTAACTTTTTCTGCTGTCACACACAGTGCTGAGCAGTCACCCTGCAGTTGTCTTTCTGACAGACACATCTGATGCAGGGAGCTTTGAAAATACTTTTGAAAAGCAAAGTGAACAAACATTGTTGATATGGGCTTGGACCTGCCTGTTGTTAAAATCTTATTTTAGAGCAGAAAAGGGAGAGAGAGATACTACACATTCAAATACTGGTTATTTAATGTACTTTATTTGTGGAGGGATCTTTTAGCAGAAACAACATGAGAGGAAAGGTATAGCACTGCTCTAGGGTGTTGATTCTGATGTTGTTACGTAAAAATTGCAGAATCCTTAGAGGCTTTTGGCCATAGATATATAAGATTGAATAAATGTTATATTGTCTTTTTTCAAAAATACTAGAGATAACCATGAACAGTGCATTTTAATGAGCATGTGGAGGGGTCAGTTGAAAATTACATAGAATTTTGCTTTTCCTGCTAGCTGCATTTCCTTCACAGTGGCCTCCTAGTGTGGTTTCTTTCTTTACAGAAAGAAAAGAAAAGAATAACCTGCATTTTAAATCTGCTATAGCACTTTGCACCATCGGTGCTCTGCTTTTGTGCTTATGACAAAATGACAAATTTGGAAGTACGGGGAGTAGTGACCTGAAGCGCTTCTCTTCCTCCCCTGCAGGCACTTGCATGCATATGCGCAGGCACACGTGCATAGTTGTGCCCTCCCTGTTTCAGAGTCCTAGCAGGCATGTTGCACTCCTCCGTGGAAAAGAAATGTGGCATTTGGGTCAGTGTTTCTAGTTCACAGACGACCTGTGATGTAAGATGGCTTATTGCTGTACACAACAAGAATCTCTGATGTACTTGTTAAATAGTGTGTAGAGAGCTGCAGCCTCAGATCCATTTACATTTCAGGAGTTTGAAGAATTGAATGATGACCTCGTAAGAGGCAGCAGCTCTGTCTGGTTAATTATATCACAGGTGATGGTGTCACGTTATGTACACGTACAGCAGAGATGTGTGCCTAAGCAGTGTGCGCTGGGTGCTAGCTATTCCCATGGCTTGTCCCGTGGGATTTGTTTAAGCCAGAAGAAAATGTAAGTCACTGTTAATGAGCAGAGAGAGGTTAGCACCTGTCTATCTAATCCATACTTTTTCTGTATTTTATTGCATCGAAGGAATATCACTGCCTAACGGTTCTAGCGCATAAACAGCTAAACAGTACTTGACATTTAAAGAGATTTTCTGTTGTGCACTTGTATAGTCAAGAGTAATTCTAATCCTATTAAAGATATTATGTCATGGAGGCGTGTTCTGGAGGAGAAGGCTTCTGCTAACTGGCCCGATGGAAAGCAGAGGGGAGGGGCGAGCAGGAGGGCGGATTTATTACTCGATAGTTAGGTCAGGGATTTCTGTGGGAAATGCCCAGTGGTTGCAGTTGCTGACGATTTCACGGCAACAGCAGTGAAACACAGAGTGCGCTCCGGTAGCGGGTTACTGAATGAGACACTGCAAATGGGTGGAAAGAAAAAAGACAGCGTGTGAGAGAGAGTCAGAGAGACACAGAGAGGGAAGCTGAGAGCAAGGAAAGTGCTCCGGCTCGAGGAGAGTCTCCCAGGTGTACTGCAGAAGCTTTTTGGAAATGGATGCAAGGACCATCTGCTGCCTATAGATTAGAGGACTGTAGCCTAGGAGTGCAGAGAAAGAGCTCATAGCTCTTTTTAATAAAAATCAAAGTTCTGCATAACTGATTCATCAAGATAAATCATGAGTGTGCTCTTGCATGGGATAATAATGTATAAATTCATGCTTCAGACAGACAGAGTTCAGCCTACATTGCTATAAAAAATAAACCCAGCAACAATGCAGTGAATAAATTCTGCAGTGATTATCTGATTTATGTACGAAGAAAAAGAGAAGCAAAACACAGACAGCTCTTAGCGCACTGTGGCATTTGCAAGGCACTGCATTTAATGCTGAGAGATGCTATACATTAAATCTGACAACTGTGAAAAGAGAGATCATGGAGAAGTCAAGTAGTGAGGATTCTTCAATTCACCGGAGTCCATCTTTGGATAGCAAGGACTCAGATTTTGCTAAACCTTCTACCTCAGGGAGGCAATTTGGTCGAGGTTTTACTGCAGGAGCTTTCTATGGTACAACTGGATCACGCACACAGAGCCACACTGGGGTCGGAACCGGGACCGGCGCTGGGACTGGAACTGGCATAAAAAGTGAAAAATACAGTGCACCCAAAGGCAGCAAATACGTGGTCTTTTACCTGGATCTATCCTTTGTTTTCCTTTTAGAATTTAAGAAGTGCAACATGGCAAGAGGCTGCCTGTGTTGTTTGAAATACATGATGTTCCTTTTCAATTTAATATTTTGGGTGAGTACTGCCTTTTCAGTTGCCTTCATCTCTTAGTGTATCCTGTACTGCTGCATTATGTGTATAGTGCATCTTTGAAGCAGTACTGTAAGTTCTCTCCTCCCCTCCCTCTCTCTCATACCTGCTTGGAATATTTTCAGTGTTAAACTTGTGTCTATTGGGAAATGCACATGCTTTCTGTATCTTTATTGCTACGTGGTTACTGTAGTTTGGCTTCTAATGCTATTCTAATGTGCTTTGAACTGGGTTATCTTAGAAAAGGGCAGAATTGTTGCCCTTTAAGGAAGACCAGAATTATTGTAGCATTAAAATCCTGCAGGGGCTGGATTGTTGCATTCTGTTGTAATACTTGTTTTGCAAAAAAAGCTGAAGGTTAGTTTTTAAAGTATATTTTCATTGTCACCATAAATCTCATTTGCTTTGTGTAAACTTCATTTGACAAAGTGCTTTTTCATTTGAAGGAAGTTATGTCCCGCTTCTCCAATTAAAAACACTAAATAATGTATGTTCTAACCTCTTAAGGTCTCAGCATAAATGTAAAATGCCTGGAATGGTGAATTAATCTGGATTCAGTTTCAGCTGCAATTGTACACATTGGTGTGTGAAGTTGGAGACTTGCACTTGCTTCTCAGGGATCAAAATTGATTTTCCTCCATCAGCCAAGAGGCGTGAGGAGTTGCAACAATGAATGTTTCAGCCAGCAAGTTAAAAGCGTAATGGCTACTTTGAGCAAAGTATTGTCACGTACAAGGGAGGGAGGAAAAGTTAAGTCATCTGCCAGCTAAGCATCCTTCAGTACAGTATTTTTAAGAAAATCACAGGTTAATTGAAATATGGAATATTCATGAATATAACCCAATATGGAAGGGTTAGCTTAGTTTGAAAGCAAAGGTCACTTCTTTTTGGGTGGTTACAAAGCTTGGGCACATGAACAAAACCATTCATAGTTGTGATCCAGAAGCATACAGTAAGCTTCATAAATAAATGAAAACACCATCCTGGGATTTATTTTGGAAAAGGGGACATTAGCAGTCTAGTTCAAATAGCTACCTCTGGTGTACAGATATCATTGTTCAAATTAGAAGCCTTACTAGCAGGTTGTCTGTTTATCTTGACCCACTTACTGAAATAACCTCTAAGAGCAAGAGTTAATGGGAGATTTGGTACAGTGTTGAACTGCTCACACAACAGTGAGCTTTTATCAGCAATAGACTGAAATGCTACAATTACTGAACTTGTGGGCATCTTACTGAAAGACAGAACTGATCACTGAAGAACATCTGATCAAAGTTCACTTATGATTTATTTTTTTTTCCTTTTTCTCTGCACATACCCTATTAGAAAGTCTGTAAATATTTTTGGAATAAATAATTTTGAATGCACGATATTTATATCCAACTGCCTATTTGACTCAATGCTGCATTACTTTGACATCTTGAACTAGTTTTTTTTCATATGGTGACTAGTTTTAGAAAAGCTTTTAACTGGTCTCATTACTCATGTCCTCTGTTATGTAGGTGTCTCTTACTCCTCACCTCCTTAGATGCAAAATCATTCTTTGATTTTTTTCTTCTTCCCAAGCAGCAACTTTCTTGAGTCTGCATCAGACCTTCAGAGTCCTTTTTTCCCATTCCTTGAACTCGCAAGAACATTTCAGACTTCATCTGTGTGCTCATCTCTGTCTGCTCAGCTCCCACTGGACTTTTATACAAACACATTGCTGCTTAGGTTAAAACTAGCCTACCATCTGGAACAGTTCTCTAGTGTCCTGTGCTTCTTCAGTTCTTACCCTTACTTCTTAATCCCCTTCACACTCTGCTTACCATGTCTTTTGTTGTGAGGCTTATATCACTTTTGTTTCTGTTACAAGCGTTATCACCACATCTCTAGCCAATATTCTAAAAATGCCTTTTTTTGATGTGAACTGTGCTATTCAGAGTGAAAATAATGCTCTGGCCTGGTGAATCTGAGAGATTATTGAAAAATGCTGAATGCAAGATGTCAGGTACTTTTCAAAGCAGTTTACAACAAACATGTGATCCTTCAGCCTGGTTTAAATTGCTCAGAAGTCCCCCCTTCTTAACTGTAGCTGTCTTATACTCAATTTTTTAAGACAGAATGATGTTCCCATGTGTTCTTCCAGTTTTGCTGTATTCTTTTTTTTTCTTTTTTTGACTGTGCTATTTTATTGTTTGAGACAGTCAAATGAAGAACATCATCTTTTGATTCATGGGAATGCAAGTAGAATGAAGTGCACTACACTATATGTAGTTTGCCACATCTGGCTTCATACTTGGGACCTCCACTAGTTTGACCATGACTATACCAGAGGTTGTGAATGCTTGGCTCTGTATGTGCTCCTTGCTGATGCTGTGCTCCTACAGCATCTCTCACTCCTGCCCTGAACTCTCCTGCTAGCACTGGACTCCCCACACAGCTCTGCCCTTTACTCCTGTCCTGCCCTGAAGCACTCCCTGCTGTTTCAGTCCTATCTTTCTTCTTAACCTGCTTTTTCCATTCCCAGGTTTGCCTGTTCTCACTGCTTCCTTCTGAATTTCTGTTAAGAAACCAAAGTCTAAAAATATGAAGCTGTGGCCTGCTCGTGAGCAGTGACTATCATCTTTTGCAATGCAAGGGGATTTATTTTTAAAAAGAGAAGCTTCACTTTTAAACATGAAATTTCCTGAACTGTGATTTAAAGCAGAATGAGGCTTCTGGTTTTCAGAACGAGGAGACCACTTCCACACTGTTACCATATAAAATGTTGCTTGTGAGATGCTTCTGAAAATGAACACTGGAGGTGCCCTTTGGCATCCCAGCATGCTGGGTATGATTGTTTGGCTTGATTCTTAGTGTTGGCTCAGAGGAGGATGTTCTTCTGTAGGAAAAAAGGCACCTTTTCCCATCATTTTTTCTTGAAGCAGAGAAATGGAGCCTAATCTTTGCCTCATGGGCCAATGAGCTCTAATCCTCTTTTAGCCTTGCAGCTAACTCATACAGATTTGACAACTAATTGTATGTGAATATTATATATTACACACATTATTTTTACATACAATGCATTTTACTTCTTTTAATGTATATCCATAGATACTTACACACAATTGTATGTTTCAAATGATGTTGAAGTGCAGTAGTCAGTGGATTCTCTCTGCACTTTGTACGTGCTGTTGCTGTGATAACTGCAACCAAGAGTTGTAGCAAAAATTCAGTGTCTGTGAATTCGATTCATGGCAAGAAAATACAGCTTTTGAAAAGCACTAGCATGTGTATCAGTTAACCTGGAAGGATCACTTATGAGTTGTACAAAGCAAATTTGTCTAAGTGGGGCCTAGCAGTAAGTTGGAACAGAAGGTGTTTCTCCACTGAATTACTGAGAGCTTCAGGTATTTCTCTGTGTCCCTCTGATTCTTAACAGTTGTTCATGGCCATCTGGCATTGCTTTCTTTCAGAGATTAGGAAAGTCTGAGCTGAGGGTTAAGGAAGCTTATAGTATTTAATTGTGTGGCTAGGATGATGATTTACACTGAATTCATCCTAAGTGCATAATATGTTTTGCAAAGGGACTGGATGGACAACTACAAATGTTAATTGATTTAGTTTGCCTTCAAGAATATTTATGTGCAAACATGTGGTGATTGCAAAGTAGCTGATGTTGCTCTGCAGAAGAAATAAAGTATTGATTTTTGCTTCTACAGATAGCAGCTAAATTGACAAGGAAGGTAATCACTAAATATAAACATTAGTGTACATATCTTTCTATGGGAGATTTCACTTCATTGTTATTAGGGGAAAGGATTACCATAATTATTTTCACAAAATGTATCAGGAAATATTACTGGTTATAAAAAAAGGAGTTCTATGAAACATGATTTTTTTTTTCAAAAAATTCACTAATGAAATGAGAATTTCATGTGGTCTTAAAATGGAAATTTTGAAATGACTGGCATAAGATACCAAAAAGTCACTAGGGAACTTTGCAAGCAGTCAATGGTCATGGCTACATTTTATCTTGTTCTATTAATTTAACTTAGATTAATGAGTCTGCAGACAGTGAAGCATTCATAGTAGACATCTTGATAGTTTTTACTATTGCTTTATTTTAATATAAAATGCATTTTATCAGGAGCTGTATGATTATTAAGTCTGATATTTTGTATTTCAGGAAGAGCTAAGGAAAAGCTAAGTATAGTCAAGAAAATACTTAATGGGGTTTATTTCTTAAAAGTCTTTATTTTTAAACAACTAAAAAAATCTGATAAAAATAATACCTGTGTATTAATGTTACAATTAAAAGCAGAAGTTACAAGCAGAAGTTATAATTTATCTAATTTAAGTGGAGTCAAATATACAAAATCAGTTATTTAATATTTACTTTCAAAGTAAATTTTCTACTAGCATTTTCCTTTAACTGAAACATAAGTTTAGAAGAGAAAAACATGGTCTGGAAACTTGCTGGTCCAGCAGGAGCAGCAAAAAGTCAAATACAGCAAATTTTTCCCTGATGCTTTGTAATTACATTAATGGATAAAGACTGTTACTCCTGGATAATATTTTTCTGAATTAATTATTTGTGCAATTTAATCTTAGAGCAGGAGTAATTAATATTTTTTCACTAGATGAAAACCAATATTGTGCATTTATCAATGAGCATAAAGACAGTAGTACAGCAGCCATGAAGGTCACTTTTGCTCAAGTCTAAGATCATACTAAAAGAGAGGTGGCATGTCCATTCTCTGGGTCTGGCTGCTGTCAAAGCTCTTGGTACTGTAAAGCAGCTAACAACTTTAGAATGGTTTGCATAAGGTAATCCATACTTATTTATGCCAAACTGGAATAAATAATATAGTGCACTGTTTAGTTTGAAGTACAAAGCTTTAATGCCTAACTGAACCTGTTGGACAGACAGTTAAATCATGTGAAGAGACTTTGTCCCTACAAATAACTGAAAATTAATCCCTGAGGTTTAAAAGGGGTGGACAGTTTGTCCCTTAAATCAG